GTCACACTTTACCCTGTACCAAAGTATCCAACGCGACTCCCCTGGCAGACATCGTGTGGCGATCGTCTTTTCACAACAAGCGAACTGTGCAACACTTGCTTGGGAACCTGTCAATGAACGGATGGCCTAATTGCAAGTGAAGGGTTACTTCACAAACACCTCTGTCGTCTCCGTATGCATAACGACTTACACTACCGAACAGCGTGAAAAAGAACCATTTTACTCGCAACTGCAAGCGATATTTGAAAAGCGGTCTCGCAGCGAGCTGCTGATTGTTGCCGGGAATTGAATTAAAATGAACTGATTGGATCTGTTGATTCCACACACAGACATCTTCCTGGCCATTTTTGATTTGGTTTTCGAAGTGACAATGGCAAGACTGCTGAACTATGCAGATAAAAACCTACTGTTTGTCACGAAAACGTGCTTCCAGCATCGCAACAAACATCTGCCGACCTGGTCTTTAAATGACGGTCAGATCGACCACATTCTAGTCAGATCAAGGCTTCGCAGCTGGGCTTTTGATAGCGGATCGCTGCGTGGTGGCAAGACTTGTAACGCCCATAGATCTGACCACGTTCTCATTCGTACACACATGAAAAGTTAACCTCTAATCTGCGTCCGAAATGTCACGTACTAAGCCGGATCCTGTGTTGGTCGTGGATGTGCAGAAGTGCATCTTCGAATTCCGACATCGCTACCAATGACCGCCTGCTTTTTTGACTTTGCCGCTACATTCGATTTTGTCCATCATGGGTTCCTATGGCAGATAATGGCACTAGATGGTGTACCACCAAAAACTAACACTATGAACTAACACTATCGCTCCACCTCAGCGCGAGCGTTCGCTATTCGGTCTGGCATTCTAAAAGGCTATATCCTGTCGCCCATTGTGATTAACTATGCCACTGACTGGATTCTTGGGAAGGCCCCATATGAAGAGGACCACATTGGGCCTGCACCCCGACGCCGGCTGACTGACGTCGACTACGCCGACGATATCGCCTTAATACATTTAAACTTTGGTGACTTGCAGTCTAGCTCAATGCTACTTCCCTCGATCCAGCACCGTTACCTAATTGGAGGCGCCGAAGAGGGGTCAGCTGAAAACCTGCCTCGGCACACATTGTCAGGACATTCGGTAATCCAAATCCGTCGTTCCCAAAGAGAATAAATTAAACTGTACAGGTCTTCCTCTACATATAGTCGCGCGTAGGGAAGTACAATCCACGGCAGTACTGAAGCCGGCTAGATTAGGCTTGATCGCGGCCATAATAGGTACATTTATTTTAGAAAATACCCGGACGGATACGCTCGCGACACCGGATGTTTGCCCTCGTCAGTTTACGCAACATCTCCAATCCATTACCCAATCACTTATTTAATAGAAAACAGCGTTTTCTTGAGTTGCGCTCAAAGTCCCAGTTGCTACTCAGGATAAGCCTGAAGGCCGTAGTAGCTAGACTTGCCATATGACTTTAGAACTGCCGACAAGCCATAGTCAACAGAAAGAAAAATATTTGCAAGAAATTTGCAAGTGAAAATGCGTCTACTTGCAACAATACGCCAGTGCAAACTTGGATATAAATAGGGGCTCTCCCTCTACATAAGAATTGAAATTCCTACATTGTTACACCCTAAAATCAAAATCTAGCGTCCAAGGAGCAAATGGAACTCGCAAAGGGAATGTCCTTGCTTTGGCGGGGGGATTGGTCTAACCTGAAAACCCCCATATATCTAGTGGCTGCAAAGAAGGGGGTTCCACTGATCCGTTCCCTGCCCTCTATTTATGAAACATGCAATTTCATGCAATGGAACTCCAACACTGAAAAGCTAAGGGCACTTTGGTGGGCTAGGACAGCAACCCCCTCTAGTAAGCCACCAGTCCGTGACGGAAGCGACATGGCGGCAACCTGTTACCGAAACTTGCTAGCAGAGGTTACCAGGATTGCCTGATAATGTCCCTAATAGCAATTTATAGACTTACGGACCTGTCAGCTCACACACACACAATATCTCACATTTATAAATCTTTTCGATAAACGTTTATCGAAAAGATTTATAAACAATATAACGGGTCGAGATAAACTTGGGCTAAAGCCCTTACTTCAATTTCAATTCAATTTCAATATATTTAAGACAAGAGGCCCAAGGCCCGGAGGAGTC